TACGCCACTGTACACTGTAACACCCACTTTTCACTATTTATGTTATGAGTCCCATGTAATAGGGGGTGAGCCTATTACCATATACCGGGCACATTTCCAAACTCCGTGCTACTTCTGAGATTTTTAAAAACTTAGTAATACTGTGCTCGACGTGGGAATCGAACCCGAGACCCCTTGCCCGGCACTTGCGATCACACGGCTAACGAGGCAGTCGATTTCTTTTCGTCGCTACTAATTTTGAGGTCCACACTGACTCTTTTCGTCGCACCTAATAAATTACTATTTTACATAGAATTGATAGAGTGACTGTCAAATAATATATTTAAAAAAAAATAGCTTTTACCCGCGTCTTTGCCCGCGTATTCCTGTTTTATCCCATGGGAGCATTTAATCGGGATAAAAATCCTATTACCAAGTCAACCCATATACCTGTATACCAAATATCCATTCAGTAGTTTCAGCGTGATTGACGAAGAAACATTTAATGGAAGAAACATTCAAATCAATGATATATGCAAATGACATTACAGAAATTTAGTTTAATAATATACCTGCTGCTATAATTGACGATGACTGGTCTATAATTTGATTATATTTTAATCAAAAGACAAATCAATTATTATTAATTTTCACTATTGAAATAGCTTTGAATAGTATCAATCAGATGTTAGATGAGGTTCTAAATATGTGACGTAATACATTAATGTGGGCTTGCATTGATTGGTTGTGTATTTAAATAGTGAATGAGGGTCGTGGTGGCCCGGAGTTTTATGATGACTGCTTCTCATTCATGAGAGTTCGAAACCTAACCAACGGCAAGTACCAATGTGACTTTTTCCGAGTTATATGCACTTTCTAAGATTATCAAGATACCATTGACAAACGGTGAAGAAAAACATCGTGAGGAAACCTCGACTTATAATTGATTGCACAGTTGGTGCGGTGGCTGGGCAGCTAGCTACATAAAGCGGCACAATTGTGTTTCGTCGTGTGAGTGAGGTTACTGGAGGCCCAATTACCCTACCCCCTCCCCAGTCCCCGCAATCCCCGAATCCACCACAATCCTAAAAATTCCCATTTTCCAAAAGGCCGGTACCGTACTTGTGACGCCTTGGTGTTCCAGATGTCCATAGGCGACGCCGATTGCTTACCATCAGGTGATCCGTCTGCTCGTTTACCGGCGATAAAAAGAAAGTATAAATATAATAAATCTCATCGATTTTTCAAATCGTTAATATATCACGATTACAAACTCCATAATTTTTAATCCATTTGAATCGCTTTCCCCATACGTATTCAAATTATTCTCTTTGATGGCGGTTTGACCCTTTTAATTCATCGTCCCTTATTAATGCTTCTGCTATCGTTAAAAAGAAAACACACACTGTAATTGCGAATCCCATTTATTTTCCTGTCAAAAAAAGAACTTTAAATGTGATTTTTCAATATTCGACTTTATTTGTATTTGCATTAGAAGTCAAATGTGTTCAACATTTAACGAGTACACGATAATGTTACAAAAAATGTGACTGTGCTTTTGTTTGTCCTGTTTTCTTTTGTTGGGAAATGTTAAAATGACGTCACAGTGACGTCATTTTAACGTCATTCTTGTCTCGGTTTTGGTAGGTATAATAACAACCCCATGTGTTGGATTTTCACAGCGGGGAACTTTCTCATTTTCACCGGAAAACTTCTCATAAAGCATTTATTTCCTCTATGATTAGTTTCCATCTCCTCTAATAGATGGCAGTGCCGAACTTTTAAAACGTGTAACCTACATGGGGAGACTTTTTTTCAGTTTTAAACGTGTTCTGCCTTATGAATAAATGAAAAACAAATTATTGACAGTTAATCTTTCTGTAAAATAATAGCCTCTGCTTCGTTGGCCGAGTGGTCGCAAGTGCGACTCGGCCGGACAAAGATCTCGGGTTCGACTCCTGGGTCGGGCAAAGTAATACTGGGTTTTAAAATATGTGCAGTGGTAGCACGTAGTCTGGAATTGTGCCCGGTATACGGCACCAGGCTTACGCCTCATTACATGGGACTCATAACATAAATAGTGAAAAGTGGGTGTTACATTGTACGGTGTACAGTGGCATTAAGTGCCGTAATGTGCACCTCTACCTACCCGTTCGAAGATAAAAGGCGTAATGTTATGTTATGTTAAAATAATAGTTGTCGTCCCACATTGAGATTGTTACAGAGAGAGTGTTACAAAGAGAGAGAATAGAGAGACTGTTTCAAACATACACATTCACTCTTCAGTTATTACATGTTTGCTGTATGAGCGAAGTCGCTTACGAAAGCTAGTTTTAAAATGAAAATGACTGATTTTATTTTGATAATCGAGGTGAAACAGTTAATTTCGTTATTGCATGTTCATTGTCGGATCAAGTGTGCGTGGTATTTAGAACTTACACAAAAACTTTACTTTGTAATCACTTTCTGTTGATTGATGTACTGACAGTATGGAAAAGTAATTCACTCTTTGTATGGGAAAACTTGAGGATAAGGACGGACAATTTTAAATTTTACGAATTATAAGTAAGTGTCATTTTTGCACAAAGTCCATCTGTTTGGCAATTCTCATCAGTTATGTTATGTTAAATAGGATATTCTCAAACATGGAAATATCTACTGTACGACCAACAATTTACTGGAGCTGTAGACGACTGAGCGGGTTACCGGGTCTCTGGCTCAAAGCAAGAGTAGGAACGGGGTGGTTTTTAATCAGTAAGTGTCTAAAAGTCTCGCATTACCCAAGGCGGGGGAAGGATTGGATAAATCCCTAATTAAAAAAATATAGTTTTTTGATGGCATAAGCCGGTAAACGAGCAGACGGATCACCTGATGGTAAGCAATCGGCGTCGCCCATGGACACCTGGAACACCAGAGGCGTTACAAGTGCGTCACCGGCGTTTTGGGGATTAGGAGTTTGAGGATCGTTGGGGATTAAGGGATTGGGGAGATTGGGGAAGGGGAAGGTAATTGGGCCTCCGGTAACCTCACTCACACGACGAAACTCAACGCAAGCGTTGCTTCACGTCGGTTTCCTGTAAGGCTGTGGTATCATTACGGTCGAGCCGGCCCATTCGTGCCGAAGCATGGCTCTCCCACACTTAGCTAATTCTATAAAATTCTATTTGGAAAACCACAACAATTTGTTTCTTTCAAACCGGAGATTGACAATGAAACCTCGAATACTTTATGCACATAGAATAACTACAATAATATTTTGAAAAACTCACTTCTACCAAAACACCGAAAATTCAAGAATGAATTATTGTAAACTGACATTAAAAGTGTCTCCAGGTAAATTTAAGTTTAGATTGTTGCTGTCAGAGACGACGTGAAACAATGCTTCTTGAAATAAGATCGCAAAATACGATTACAATTCAAAATGAAGTTGTGATGTTATTTATCTCGACTCACAGCAAAAACGCGATGAGTTTTTTTCATTTTTTGTTCTTAATTAGACAGGCATTGAATTATAATTTAAGTCAATTTTCTGAATCCTAACTTAAATGTTGTTTATTTAGGTGTTTATTTTGCTTGAAATAACTTTGATGGAATTTCGTCATGGAGTGAAAATAAGACTTCAATACATTCCTGTGAATGTTGTCATTGAAGTCAACCGATTGTCAATAGTTGTCTATTGACAGTCTGTAATTAGATACA